TGAGTTTCAGGCTGCTGGGTCCAGGACTCTTAATGGCGGTCAGCCACATGGGAGTGTCCAAACACCATGCCACCTGCCAGCCTCCCACTTCATTATAACTTTTAAAGTGTTTTATTTTAAAATTCAGTTTAAATGAACGAGCTAGGATAGTTTCCCCATTTGGTTAGGAAGCTGCTGAAATTGGGATGTGATTGTCTTGTTGCAGTGTAATTTGAGCCTGATATGTTTATTTCCTCTCAGGTGGAGGCCTGAATTTTGATCTATGTCCTACCTACGTCCACCTGCCTGAAAGAACATCATTGATGATCACATGACCCTGGACATGGATGCTGTCTTGTCGGATTTTGTCCGTTCCACAGGAGCAGAGCCAGGGCTGGCCCGAGATCTCCTGGAAGGTAAGGAGGAGTCATGGGAAGAATTAGAAAAGATAAAGCAAAATGTGATCTTTATTTTTGGGGTGATTTGGAACTTGATTATTGGAGAAATTTTTGCTATAGGGCACATGCAGCTTGCTGGAGAAACAGAGAGACAGAACACAAGAAATCACTCCATGAGGGGATGGCCATACCACAATCCCTTCTCCTCCATTTTTCTCTCTGGAATTTGGGCACATAAACACCATGTACCCAGCATGAGTTTCAGGTTACTGGGTCTAGGACTCGAACCATGTTGACCAGCCCATCATCTTAACCACTATGCCATTTGCTGGCCCCTGATTTGGAACATTTAAGATGATCAGGAAGATACTTCATGTATGGTAAGCCTGACATTGGAGTTCCTATAGCAATCTAGCAGTACTTTGTCTATGACACACCATAATTTAAAAGTTTAGAATCCCTATTTCACCTTGAACTTATTGGGGCAGCTTTCTCCACGGTCAGCTTATGCTTAGGCAATAAAGTGAAATTTTCTTTTTTTTTTTCTTTTTTTTGGAGAGATTTTTGCTATAGGGCACATGCACTCACCAGACAGACAAAGAAAGACAGAAAGACAGAAAGCGAGAAATCACCCCCCAGGGGGGATGGCCACACCACAATCCCTTCTCCTCCATTCTCCTCTCGGGATCTTGGGCATGCACACACATGCCCGGCGTGAGCTTAAGCCACCGGGTCCGGGACTCAAACTGCAGTCGACTACGTGGGAGTCCAGCGACATAGCCATTACGCTAACTGCTGGTCCCAATAAAGTGAAATTTTCTGTTGATCTACTAAAAGCATAAATCTGGATTTGGAAGACTGCTTCTTCATGTATAAATGCCTTTTGAATTTTTATATTTGGTATCATCCATTGTTTTTTTTTTTTTTTCTTTCCTAATTTAGATGGTCAGTTCTATGTTGAGTGAATTAATTCTCATTTTGCTGCTTTTGTTTACTTTTGTCTGTATATACGCTTAAGTGAACGTTCTAGATTTTAAGGTCCTGAAGGTTTGGAATCATGACTGTAGGAGTCTATGTTTAGAGACATAATTAACAGATACTTTGTGATGCTAACCATATGTATTGATGCAAACAAAAAAAAAAAGACAAGTTCTTAGCATAAGTAGATAATTTTTCAGATTGCTAACCCTCAGCAAGTTGTGACAATTTGACATCCACTTAGCTATCTGTGAAAAAAACATTTGGAATGAGAAGATCAGGGTTTAAATTCCACTTTATTAATTTAGTATGACCTTGCCCTTAATTTGCATTTTTAGTTTTGTCTCTTACTACTTTGTCCACACATCTGTGCTCCAACCAGGACTGACTTGTCACCATTGCCTGATCATGTTAGGGTGTTTCCTAGGTCTGCAGTATCCTTCCCTCCATTATTCTCATCTTTCAAGATTCAATTCAGATGCCTGGACCCAGCAGCCTGAAACTCATGCTTGCTTTCTCGCTTTCTCTTTCTCTGGCCAAATTAAAAATAATAATAACAAATGGAATTGAATCCATTATTTTTTTAAAATTTTATTTATTCATTTATTTATTTTTAATTTGATCAGAGAGAGAGAGACACACACACACACACACAGTGCACGTGCACGCGCATGCACTGAGAGAGAGAGAGAGAAAGTGAGAAAGCAAGCTACCAGGTCCAGGACTTCAACCATGGTCAGCCATGTGGGAGTGTCCAGCACCTTAACCATTATGCCACCTGCTGGTCCCCTGAATCAATTATTTTTTGAGTTATAATGAAGAGTAATAATGTAGTTTCCTAAATTCCTCTTCTTTATAAATGACTCCTTAACCATTTCTTATTCCTCTTGTAAGTGTTCAGTATGTGTAAGGTACTTGAGATACAGTCTGATAACCACTCTGCAATAAAGTTTTTATGATTCCGATATTATAGTGTTATTTTTTAAACTGAGGCTTTTAGACTGGCAGGTGGCGTGGTGGCTAGGGGTGCTGGACTCCCACATGGTGACCAAGATTTGAGTCCTGGACCCTGGTGGCTTTCTGTCTCACTTTCCGTTTCTCTTTCTCATTCTTGCTCTGTCCCTCTCTGGCCAAATTAAAAACAAATAAATAAGTTAAATGAAGGGACCAGCAATTTGCTTAATAAGTTAAATTAAAATAATACTAAAAAAAAAAAAAACCTGAGGCTTTCAGTGAAGGTAAGTAGGATTTGAACCCAGGCAATTTGGTTTTAGAGTGTGGGGCTTAACAATTATGTTACAAATTGTCGCTTGTGTACACACACACACACACACGCTGCTATGGAAAAATTGAGGGTACTGTGAGAGTGAAAATAGAAACCTGATTTAGATCGAAAGTGCAGGAAGGCCTTTGAGGAAGTGATATTTGAGCTGAACCCTGAAGGATGAGTAGGAGTAGCAGGACAAAGGGATCTAGAAGAGAGTGTTTATACAGAAGAAATAGCTTATTCAAGGGCCCTAAGGAGAAAAGAGTTTGGCACATGAGAGAAACTAATAGTGCATGAGGTAGGAAGAGTGAGTGGTAGGAAGCTGGTCAGGTAGGCAGGAGGTAGAATGTGGCGGGCCTGTGTAGACCGTGGTAAGAGTTTAAATTTTAAACAGTGTACTGGTTGTAGGTATGGAATGGAATGGATTGGAAAGTGGCCAGAGAAGTGGCAAAACCAGTTAAGAGTATTGCCGTGGTTCAGGTGAGAGGTGACGGTGGTATGTGGATCACAGTGGCAGCGGTAGAGAGATAAGTAGATGGGTTTAAGATAAAATTGAGGAGGGGAATTAAAGGACGCCATCTTCACTTTCTTTTGGTGTGTATCTTTCTCCCTACCCTTATTTTTTACTTTAAAAGTTAACTCTGGTTGTAAAGAACAAATTAGAGAGGGGAATGATTAGGAGCAGAGAGACCAGTTAGAGAGTACCCTCCTAAAAGGCCACAGACAAGGTAAAGATGATAAGGACCTCAAGGGGGGCAGTGGCAGTAAAAATGACAAGGAAGTATGGATTTGAGAGATGTTTCAGGATTACAGACAACTCTGAGGATTTACTGATGGTGAGGGGAGAAGAGAATGAGGAGTTGTAAATGACTGATATGTCTGGGCTGGAGGGATCGTGGTGGCATTACTGATTTGGGAAACATAGGATGAGGAGAAGCAGCAGTAGGTTTTGAGAGAGGAGGTGACTGATGTTCAGTTTTTGAGTGTCGATTGTTAGAAGGATCTGATTTTAAGTTTCGCAGACCATTGGCAATACATAACAATGCTCAAGACAGATGTCATCCAGTCACTCATTGATCAGGACAGGAGTCCTCTATTCATTTAACAAATATTTACCGAGTACCTACTTTGTGCCAGGTACTGTTCCACATGCTTTGGGGGAAAAAAAAAAAAAAACAAGGGGCTAGCAAGTGGCATGGCGTTTAAGGGCGCTAGACTCCCACATAGCCGACTGAGGTTCAAGTCTTGGACCTGGCAGCTTGCTTTCTCACTTTTCCTTTCTCTTTCTTTCTCTGTCTCTTGTCAAATTAAAAAATAATAATAACAAATAAAGTTAAATGAATAAATAATTCTAAAAAAAAATTCCTGCCCTCACATTCTAACAGGAAAGATAGGCACTAAATATGATAAACACTAAATATGATAACTAGGTAATTGTAAAGTATATTATAAAGTGTTGAGTGCAATGGGAAGTGGTGAGGGGAATGGTGAGGCAGGCTGCTATTTCACTTGGGTAGTCAGAGTAGGCCCTATTAAGAATGTACATTTGAAGGCTGGCAGGTGGCATGGTAGTTAAGGCACTGGACTCCCACATGGGCAACCATGGTTCAAGTCCTCGACCTGGTAGCTTGCTTTCTCACTTTCCCTCTCTCTCTCTCTTTCTGTATCTCTTTGGTCAAATTAAAATAATAATAATAACTGAGTTGAACAGATAATTCTAAAAACAAAAACAAAAACAAACCTCCTGAAAAAGAATGTATGTTTGGGCAGAGACCTGAATCTGATGAGGAATTGTTTGTGTAAGTGCACTGAAGAAGGAACCCTCTAGGCAATGGGACTGATCAACCGAGAGGCCTTCAGGTAGGAGTCGTCTTAGCATGTTCTCAGGACAGCAGGGAGGCCGGTGATGGCTGGAACAGAGTGAGCAAAGGGAGTTGAACAGGTGAATATAAAGGCTTAGGATTTAAATTATCAGACACGAGTGATTAGTTACAACTTAACTGGAGAATTCTAATAACAATAAGACCAACACCAACAACGGTATTTAAAAATTATACACACATACACAATGCTTTTTGTTTACCAAGCACTGTTCTAAGTGCTTTTAACTCATTTTATCTTTGTAACAAACCTATGAGGTAGGTACTGATATTATCAATGATCTATTATTTCCTTATTTTCACAGATAAGGACTTGGAAGCACAGAGAAGAGAAGAGGCTAGAAAAATAGACCAGGTCATAGAAAGTGTTGAATATCAGGCAGAGGAACCCTAGGCTTTATTCTGTAGGCAGGGGTAAGCCAGTAAAGATTTTGATCGCAGAACTGAAAGGATTAGAACTATGCTTCAGAAAGAAGAATTTTGGAGATGCTTTAGAGCATATTCGAAGTGGAACACTAGGCAATAGGAATGGAATTAAGGTAGAGGCAAATGAAATAGAACAAAAAGAAGTGTGAGCCATTATGCAACATGTATTTATTGTGTAATCTAACTGGAGAAAGCAACAGAAAAAATTCATATGACAAATCTATCATTTGGTGTCAATTCTTCAGTGGAGTAGTGATTCTTAAATTTGGGAGAAATATAGTTCCCTTTGATAAGCTGAAGACATCCATCAACTCTTTCACTAGAAAATTGAGCATACCCATATCTGGTTTCAGGTGGCTTAAGGCACATGGAGCACAACTAGGCCAAGAACTTCATTAAATCTCAGAATTACGAGACCTGGGCTTGAGTCCTTCTGGACCCTGGTGTAAACTAGCTGTGACTTTGGGCAAGTCACTTTACTCTTAGACCTTGTTTCCTTTAACTGTAAAAGAAGATTTTAGCTTTAGCTATTATTAGGTGGTCTGAAAAGCCATGATGTATTTTTCTATACAAAAATGGGTCATGACTTTTCGGTCCAACTAATAGACCTCTAGGGGCTCTGTTAGTTCAGAGAGACAAAGTTTCTATCCTCATGGAGCTTATAATAATAAGTAAATAAAGAGATTTGGTATTTCAGATGGAAGTATTACGAGGAAAACTAAAGCAGGATAAGAAAAAGAACAATGACTAAACTAAAGACTTTCTGCCCAAACTTCATCTCCTCACCCCTAGATCTAGCCAGGACAAGTGAATCCAGCCATCTATATTTGAGTTCTGGGCAGGCCCTTTCGGGGACTAGGACAGCTGAAGACTTTCTGCCCAGACTTCACCCTCCTGCTCCCCAGATCTAGCCAGATTAGAGCACCGTCTTCATTCTCTCTGTCTCTCTCTCTTCATTTTTTTATTGAAATGTTTTTAAACTTCTTAGCTTTCTGGTGCTCTTTTACCTTGCTAATTCTTACCTTTACCCCCTCCCACATAGGACAAGCCAATCACCAGCCATCTATATTTTCAGTTTTTGCTTTAATTTTTTCTCTCTTTAAAAAAATTTTTTTTTCCTTTTCCTTTCCCTTTTTCTTTTACTTTTCTCACTTTTCTTCTCAGCCTTTGCACACCGAGTTTCTACACAGGACTAGGTGCACAGTAGCCAAATACCTGAATATTTTTAGGGTCAGAATAACCCACAATTTCCATGGAATCTGCTGCACAAAGAGAGAAAAACAGTACTACTAAAGATTGCAGATCACCTCCTCCTGCATGCCTCTCAATGCTCAGATTTAACTCTAAACACTAGGAAAAAACATATAATCCATTAGATGACCAGAAACCACTAAGGCACAAGAAATATAAAGAATCCAAGAAAAGATCTCTCCCTTCAGGGAAAAGAACTCCTCATCCTCCACAGATAACACAAGGGAACTCATGGAAATATCAGATAAAGAATTTAAAATATTCATAGTGACAAAGCTAACAGAGATGCAAGAGAAGAGAGATGATGAACTGCAGAAGATGCAGGAGAAAACAAGTTCAGGAGGTGAGGAAGTTCTTGCACAATCTAAAAGAGGAAATACACACCATAAAAAGAATCAAATGGAATTGTTAGAGATGAATGCTGTAATACAGGAAATTGAAACCTCACTTGAAAGTATTAAAAGCAGAATAGATCACGCAGAAGATCAAATCTCAGATACAGAAGATAGAACCTCTGGCCTACAAAAATTCATCAAAAAGACTGAGAAAATATCCCTTCAAAATTAGAATAATATACAAGTAATGCTAGATACCATTAAGTGCCCAAACATCTGGATAATCGGTATCCCAGAAGGTAAAGACATTAATAAGGGCATTGGTAATCTATTTCATGAAATACTGGAAGAAAACTTTCCAGACCTAAAGAGGCATTCAAATATCCAGACCCAAGAAATACAAAGGACCCCACATAGACTCAACCCAAGAAGATCTTCTCCAAGGTCCATCATCACCAGATTGACCAAAGCTACAGACAGACAAGATACTAAAATTGGCAAGAGAGAAATGTCAAGTTACTTTCAAAAGATATCCCATCAGGCTAATGTCAGACTTCTCATCAGAAATGATATTAGCAAGGAAAGAATGGGAAAATATAATCAAAATGTAAATGAAGAACAGTTTCAACCAAGAATACGATACCCAGCAAGACTATCCTTCATATGGGAAGAAAAGATAAAAACATTCAGATAAACAAAACCTGAAAGATTTACCCACACCAGACCAGCTCTCCAAGAAGTACTGAAGGGAGTGCTATACCAGGAAAACTAAAGTCAGACACAGAAATAAAGGGTACAAAAAACAACCAAGAAAATGGCTAGCCTAATAGTAGGGACAAGTCTGGAGTTGAATGTTAACTTCCAGAATTTAAACAGAAAGATGAGACCACTGTAAATTCAATAGAAGAGAGATTAATTACGTGAGATTAAACTGGTGAAATAGAATTTTATGATTTTTGGCTAAAACATTACTGATTCTCTTCTATGCTTTGTTTTCCAGATTTAAGGATTTTTGTCTTCTCTTGAATCATTGAAAGGTTCAGTTTGAACTGAATCCCAATCTTTTTCCTGGCTTTAATTAAGTTTTAAGCAAATTTCTCTTAACATTTTAAGTTTTGATCTATTAAAACTAAAACTGTTTTTTTTTTCTTGAAGTTAAAAATGCATTTAAAAACACCTATTTAATGGCTGCAGTAAACTATATAGCACCAGCTAGGTGCTGCTTTATAGTATGTTTATTCTACTCACTGAGGTATATGCCTAAAGTTAGACATGTGTTCATAGATATACATTTATCAGCTGCACTTGCTATTGAAAGTATTTAGATCAATTAAGATCTTTAGGGAATCAGTAAAGTGTGGGAGGGAAAAAAGGCATGGAAAGCAACTATAGATACCAAAGACAGTGTGGGAGGAGGGTGGGAAATGGCAGAGTATGAGAGGTAGGGAACCAAGGAGGATGGGAAAAAGCAAAATAAATAAGAAACAAAAAATGGAAATATTTGTTGATGATAACACATATGGTAATATCCTTGATTGAGCCAATATATAGTGAATTCTGGATGGAAAAATCTCATTTTGTATACTGTAATGATGTACAGTGAATGAATGTAAATAAATAAATTTTTTAAATAAATAAACAGAATAAAAAGAAAATGAACAGGGACCAGCAGTTAGCCTAATGGCTATGTCGCTGAACTCCCATGTAGTTGACCTCGGTTTGAGTCCCGGACCTGGTGGCTTAAACTCACGCCAGTGTGTGTGTGTGCATGCCCAAGATCTCAAGAGGAGAATGGAGGAGAAGGGATTGCAGCGTGGCCATCCCCCTGGGGGGTGATTTCTCGCTTTCTGTCTCTCTGTCTCTCTCTTTCTGGCAAGAGCATGCACCCTATAGCAAAAACCTCTCAAAAAAAAAAAAAAAGAAAAAAGAAAAAGAAAGAAAGAAAGAAAAAGAACAATGACTGAAGTGTGCATGAGTATATGCTTGCTAGTTTTGGTGGGATGGTCAGAGCGTTCTGTGTCTTTCCTGTTTCCTCATACTCTTTAGTACACAATTTGCTTTTTGCTATGTCTCCTGACAGGAAAGAATTGGGACGTGAGTGCTGCCCTCAGTGATTTTGAACAACTACGTCAAGTCCATGCTGGGAACCTGCCCCCACCCTTTAGTGAAGGGAGTGGTGGCTCCAGGACCCCTGAAAAAGGGCTTTCTGATAGAGAGTCTGCTCGCCCTCCCCGACCCATCCTACAGCGGCAAGATGACGTCATTCAAGGTACTGGGTGACTGAGGGATGTTTCTGTATACAGAGTAGGAGCCGGCTGCCAAAAGGAGTCAGAAAGTCTGGTGATCCTTTTGAGTTTTCTCCTAGCCAAACCCAGACAGAGGCAGCCTCAGTCTGTCCAGGTGCTAGAGCCCCTCACTGTCTCTCTGCATTTTGAGCGTTACCCTGCATAAAGGCCTTTTTCAGATACCGTGAAAGAAACAGAGGAAGGAGGATAATTTATGTTTAGAATGAGTTATTTAAGTCCATTTGTTATTATTTTTTAATTTGACCAGAGAGAGACAGAGAGAAAGAAAGGGAAAGCGAGAAAGCAAGCTACCAGGTCTGGGACTAAACCATAGTCAGCCGTGTGGGAGTTCAACACCTTAACCACCATGCCACCTGCTGGCCCTAAGGATAATAATCTTAACTGTCGAGATAAAATACACGTAGGTAGAAACAAAACGATCACTACCATCTACCTCCTTGAAGAGTAATTAGTTATTATTTACCACTGTCTATCAAAATTTAAAAATGCATATGCACTCTTTGACTCTGCAATTTTATTTCTTTTTTCTTTTTCTTTTTCTTTTTTTGGAGGTTTTTGCTATAGGACAAATATGGTCACCTAAAGACAGAGATAGAAAGCGAGAAATCACCCCCCAGGGAGGGGATGGCCAAGCCACAATCTCTTCTCCTCCTTTCTCCTCTCGGGATCTTGAGCACGCACGCACACGCGCCCGGTGGGGTCCAGGACTCAAACCGCGGTCAAGTACATGGGAGTTTAGCGACATGGCCATTACGCCAACTGCTGGTCCCTCTTTTTCTTTTTTCTTTTTTTTTGAGAGATTTTCGCTGTAGGGTTCATGTACTCACTAGAGAGACAGAGACAGAAAATGAGAAATCAGCCTCCTGAGGGGGTGACCATGCAACAATCCCTTCTCTTCCATTCTCCTCTCAGGATTTTGGGCATGCATGCACACGCATCTGGCATGAGTTTTAAGCTGCTGGGTCCAGGATTTGAACCACAGCCAACTATGTGGGAGTCCAGCTATGTAACCATTGCACCATCTGCTGGTCCAAGCAGTTTTATTTATAGGACTTTATAGTGTGCACACATTTGTCCTTTATTTATTTATTTATTTTAAAGAATTGTTTACTTAATCCTATTTGTTATTATTATTTTTTAATTTGACCAGAGAGAGAGAGAGAGAAAGGAAAGTAAGAAAGCTAGCCTCCAGATCCAAGTCTCAAACCATAGTCGACCATGTGGGAGTCCAGTGCCTCAACCACTCTGCTACCTGCTGGACCCTTTCCTTTAAATAAATAAATACATAAATACATATGGAGAGTATGAGGGTATTCATTTTGGCATTGTTTTATAATAATTAAAACTTGACAACAACCCTTTTTTTTAGAATTATTTTATTTAACTCTATTTATTATTATTATTATTATTATTTTTAACTTGACCAAAGAGAGACACAGACCAGCCCCGACAAAAACTTTTAATATCCACTAGTAAAGACTTGGTTAAGTAAATTGTAATCATCCATAGTGTGGAATACTCTGTAGCTATTAGAAAGACTAAGGTAGAACTTAAAAGTGTTATTTCAGAAAAATTTCTAAAATCTAAGAAAGGTAAGACAAAGGGCAATGTGTGCAGTATGCTCCTGTTTGTATTTTAAAGATAACTTTCAAAGCTATGTGTCCCTCTGTATGCAGAAAAAATTGATAGGAGGATATAAAAGGTTGCCTCTGAGAAACAGAGCTGGAATTCTGATTTTTTCCCCCTTTGTTATAGGGTGTGTGCTCTCACTGGAGAGAGAGAAAGAGAAAGTGAACAGTCACCCCCTCAGGGCTGCAATCCCGACTCCTCTATTCTCCTCTCTGGATTTTGGGAATATATGCACACTCACCTGGTGTCATTTTCAAGCCACTGGGGTCTGGGACTTGAACCACAAAATCAGCCACATGGGATCCAGCCACCTTAACTTCCATGCCACCTACTGGCCAAGGATCTGGAGTTTTGTGGGGTTTTTTTGAGAGGTTTTTGCTATAAGATGCGTGTGCTCGCCATACAGACAGAGAGAGACAGAGAGACAGAAAGCGAGAAATCACCCCCCAGGGGGGATGGCCACACCACAATCCCTTCTCCTCCATTCTCCTCTCGGGATCTTGGGCACACACGCACATGCGCCCGGCATGAGTTTAAGCCACCGGGTCCGGGACTCGAACCGCGGTCAACTACATGGGAGTCCAGCGACATAGCCATTACGCTAACTGCTGGTCCCGGATCTGGAATTTTTTAATAAGTGGAAGACTTCTTTGTAAAATTATTTTACATCTTTTGATAATATTTTGTTAAGTTTTGAGTTTTTGCCTTAGGACGTGTATGCTTGCTGGAGAGAGACAGGGAGAGGAAAAGTGAGAAATAACCCCTCACAGGGGATGGCCGTGCAGCTAGTCCCTCTCCTCCATTCTCCCTTGGGGACCCTGGGTACACATGCACATGTGCCCAGCATGATCCTCAAGCTGTTGGGTCCAGGGTATGCTCGGTCATGTGGGAATCCAGCACCTTAACCACCACACCACCTGCTTTACCACATTTTGGTTTTCTACCATGAGCAGGTGGCACTTTTTACATACCTAAGAAGATATTTTTAAAATAATATAATTATAAAATAACTTACAGGCCAACCAGTTGTGTGGTGGTTAAGGTAGCTAGATCCCACATGGTTGACTGCATGGTTTAAGTTCTGGACCCAGTGACTTGAAAAACACTCCAGGCATGTGTACACATGTGCCCAAAATCAAGAGAGGAGGAGAAATGGAGGAGAAGGAATTGCAGTGTGACCATTCCCCATAGGGGGAGCCTTCTCACTTTCCCTCCCACACTTTCTCTCTCTCTCTCTCTCCAGCAAGAGCATGCACCCTCTACCACAGTTTTAAAAATTATAACTTCAGATAATTCTTGATTTATTTTGTGCATCATCTCAGGAAATATTGGATTGAGAATGGCTGTCCAACACGATTGTGAGCTTCTACCCACTTCTGATAATCATTATTTCATTCAAACCATGGAAATGAATGATAATAATACACTAAACAAATTATGATCATAATGGAGTATTTGCTAGGCAATTTCAAGTGCCATGTATTCAAAATAAGTGAAGCAATTTGGGGCTCTATCTACACTACTGTTGTTTTTCTGTACCATGTTAAGAATTCATTGTCTTCATAAATTTCTAATAAATATGGGTATCAAGAAAAGTTATAGTAAATAACATAAATAGATGTTACTGGTGATAGGAGGAAAGTTTCTGAATATAAAAGATTTGTCATTAATTCTCTTTTTTTTTTGTGGAGAGGTTTTTGCTATAGGGCGCGTGCGCTCACCAGACAGACAGAGACAGACAGAGAGACAGAAAGCGAGAAATCACCCCCCAGGGGAGATGGCCACGCCACAATCCCTTCTCCTCCATTCTCCTCTCGGGATCATGGGCACGCACGCACACGTGCCCAGCGTGAGTTTTAAGCCACCGGATCCGGGACGCGAACCACGGTCGACTACATGGGAGTCCAGCGACATAACCGTTACGCCAACTGCTGGTTCCCAATTCTCTTTTCTATAATGGAAATCCTTTCTTCATTCTCCAAGAATTTTCTCTGAAAATTATCAGAGAGATCATTTGATTAAATCTAGCCTAATGGAACCCCATTTCCTTTGTTTCCTCTTCCTCCCAATGACCAAGATACGAAATTAATGGTCCCTAACATGTTGGGAAATGGAAGCGAAGAGGACAGTGTCTACGGAGGAAGGTCAGGCAAGTCCTAAACAAGGGTAGAAAGAAGGATGTGTATTTGGTGCTAGTGTGAGTGCCTGCAAAAGTACCACCTTTTGTATTTTTCCAGTTGTATTTGACTTGAGAAAAAAAGAGTTGTGAAATGCAGTAGCCAGTTAGACTCCGTTTTTCCCTCACTGGAAACCCTGTAGCTATCATCACATCAATGGAGTTCTGTAAGTGAGCTGTGTATGTTCTAAGGTGAATCCGTTTCTCATTGCAGAAAAACGCCTGTCTAGGGGCATCTCCCACGCCAGCTCCAGCATTGTTTCCCTGGCCCGGTCCCATGTCTCCTCCAATGGTGGGGGTGGGGGGAGCAGTGAGCACCCCCTGGAAATGCCCATCTGTGCCTTCCAGCTTCCAGATCTCACTGTGTACAATGAAGACTTCCGCAGCTTCATAGAGAGAGACCTCATTGAGCAGTCCATGCTGGTTGCCTTGGAACAGGCAGGTCAGTGCTTCCTCTTCCCGCCTCCGCCCCTGCCCCTACAGCAGCAGCCATGAGGAAGGGCTGGGCTTGGGTAGCTTCCAGTCTGAGTGTGCAGCCTGATCACCAGCAGAGTCACGAGTCAGACAGACATGTACTGAACTAGGTCCTTCTTCAAGTTAGAGAAAGGATGCAGGCGAGACAGTTTACCCTGGAGATTTCCTGTTTGATGGGAACCAGATATACATGTGAAAAGCTTAGGAATCAGCACCTAAAAGCCAATGATATATGGAAAAAAAAATGCAGCTGATTATAATGGGCTCTGCAACCTCCTTGGGAACAGAAATGACCAGTGCTGTATATTATGCACTGTAGTGATTCATCAAAAAGTCGCATTTATTTATAAATTTATTTACCTTTACAATGTGTTTGTCTTAAATTATTGTTAGAATTAGTTTTATATGCTAGTGTAAGGCAGCTGGAAGTTCTGGGAAAACTAGTGAGGTATAATAAAAACTCCCATAGAAAGACTGGAGGTAGGAGATGGGGCATGGAAAAGAAGCCTTTATTTTAATGTTGTACTATTCTGTATTAGCCATTTACATCAACTTATCATTTTTAAAAAGTTTTATTTATTTAATTTTATTTATTACTATTATTATTTTTAGCTTGTTCTAGGTCATGTGCACTCGCCATAGAGATGGGGGGTGGGGGCGGGGTGGGGATGGTAAATGAGAAAGCAAGCCTCTTGGTCTGGGACTCGAACCTTGGTCGGTCATGTGGGAGTCTAGCACCCCCACCTGCTGGCCCTCTATTTATAATTTTCAAAAAGAGTCAGCAAGTTATCTGGGCTAGTGAGGTAGGCTAGTTTTTCTTCCAGTCAACTTTTCAGTAGCTGAAGAAAACTTTTAAGCATCTATTCATTAAATAGTTTCATGTAAATAATGGGTTGGAACTTGTGGGATGACTACAGAATTGAGACTCATTTTCTTGGCTGTTTTATGTATTTTGTCTCACTGCTCACGCCTTCATAGTCACACAATATGCATGCTGACCTGCTGGCTGACGTATAGGCAGATGACACAGGAGACTTTAAATACATGCTTTGAATTCTTTCTGCTTTACTGATGGTAGATTTAATCTGAGCTTTGTTACTACAGCGTGTACTGGCCTCCTGACCAGAGTGATAGGATCGGAGTCAGACCAAATACCAGCACAGTCTCAACCTCTGACCTTGGCTTCATCATTGAACTCAGGGTTTTCAACCTTGGCACTACGGACATTTTGGTCCAGATAACTCTGTCCTTCAAGCTGCCTTTATGTTGTTTCACAGCATCCCTGTTCTCTACCCACTGGGTGCCAGTAGCATCCTCCCACCAGCTGTGGCACGTGAACATCTAGACATTGCCCAATGTCCTGTTGGGACAGAGTTTCCCACCATTGATCTAACTGGTCATGCTCATGAGATTCTAACTAACTGGATATAGGGAAGAAGAGAGAAATAGTAAGGGAGTGATGATTTTGTTCTAGGTCACCTTCTTAGAAGATGCAGGTGTGGAGTCTGTATTAGAAATAGGGACATAGGAAGGGCTTCCTGGATAATCTGCTCCTCTCCCTTTTCCCCACTGTCATGTGTCTGCAGGGCGTTTGAACTGGTGGGTGAGTGTGGACCCCACGTGTCAGAGGTTGCTTCCTTTGGCAACCACTGGAGATGGGAACTGTCTCCTGCATGCGGCCTCTCTTGGTGAGTCTCACAAACAGTCCTCTCCTGTCAATAGAAGCTATTGAGTCAGAGCCCATGTGTTCGGTTCAGATCAAGTTCATGTGCACTCATAGTGTGTGTGTGCGCATGTCTGCACATAGGAGATGGGAGAAAGCCTTGTCCTGGTTTTCACCCCTGTTCAACATAGTGAGGAGAGCATAGGGCTTAGCCTGCCCCTGCTCTGAGAGCTGACTTCTTATAGTAATGAGCAGCAATAAACAAGCCTATATAGATGAGTATGTGTATATATAACTTAGTATTTATTCTTTCAGTGTATAAAAAGATAATGTTTCCACCAGTCCTTTGTGACATTTATTTACTTTAAGTTATTATGCTATTTACAACTCAAAATATTTTTTCCCCTTAGCTTTAAAAAAAATCCCTATTTTCCAACCATCCCTCAAACTTTGATGTACGAATGCTGTGAGCTAGACTTTTTTTCTGTCGTTACTCTGTATTCCAGTTTGCTAGACTTGCTTCAGGAATATGGAATTCCTGTCAGGAGTTTGTGGGATATGGTACATCCTCCACTTTTAAGTTTCCCAAGTCTAAAGTAGGAACATCTTTCTTTCTTTCTTTCTTTTTTTTTTTTTTTTGAGAGGCTTTTGCTATAGGACACGTGCGCTTGCCAGACAGACAGAGAGAAACATAGAGACAGAAAGTGAGAAATCACCCCCCAGTGGGGATGGTCACGCCGCAATCCCTTCTCCTCCATTCTCCTCTCGGGATCTTGGGCACACACACACTCATGCCCGGCGTGAGTTTTAAGCCACTGGGTCCGGGACGCGAACCGCGGTCGACTACGTGGGAGTCCAGCGACATAGCCATTACGCTAACTGCTGGTTCCCAGGAACATCTTTCTTGATGAAGCACTTTCCTAAACCACAGCGAGAGTTTCCTTGACCCTGACTTCAGCCTGATTTCCTTCATGTCAGGGTCTGTGTATCATAATAAGTGGAGTTGAGTCCAGATGAAGTATCTTACTGCCATGCTTTCTTGCCACAGGGATGTGGGGTTTCCATGACCGGGACTTGATGCTGCGGAAAGCTCTGTACGCACTGATGGAGAAAGGAGTTGAGAAGGAAGCGTTGAAAAGGCGCTGGAGGTGGCAGCAAACACAGCAAAATAAAGAGGTGGGAGAGCTTGGGTGCAGACACCCTGTTTCCCAAAGTTACCCAATGTTTAGGTCAGTATTATCCCACCCTTGTCATCCTGAATATTGTTTAAAAAAAAAAAAAAAAAAGAAATGCGGATATCACCGATATCACCACAAAGTAAGTGCTTTCTGGTGTGGGGAAGCAGAGACCTATGGAGGAGGTATCTAATGTGCTTTTTACCCGGTGGGTGCTCAGTAGCCTTTACTGGCAGTCTTTGTAAAATGAGGAATGAAAATCCTGTAGGCTTTTCATATTTAAAAAAATTTTTTTAGACAGTCTCAATATGGAAATGCAGATATCACCGATATCACCACAAAGTAAGTGCTTTCTGGTGTGGGGAAGCAGAGACCTATGGAGGAGGTATCTAATGTGCTTTTTACCCGGTGGGTGCTCAGTAGCCTTTACTGGCAGTCTTTGTAAAATGAGGAATGAAAATCCTGTAGGCTTTTCATATTTAAAAAAATTTTTTTAGACAGTCTCAATATGTCTTGATTTTCCTGCCTTAGCCTCCCAAGTAACTGGTCTACAGGTATATGCTGCTACTGCCAGGTTGTAGGGTGGTCTGGGAATTGAACCTGGGCCTCTCGTGTGGCCCTGGTCTACCAAGCAGCAGCATCAACCAGTGTGTGCTACTGTGCCTGGGTACATATTATTTTGTATTTTTCCTGTAATAAGGCTAGGCCAATTTTTAAGCACCTATAGTTCCAACCCTTAGAGAAATGTAAACGCTTGAAAATGCTTTTGGACAGGGGCCAGCAACTGGTGTGGTGGGTAAGGCACTGAACTCCCACATGACTGACCTCAGTTTGGGTCCTGGACCCAGTGACTTAATGATCACACTGGGCATGTGTGTGTGCATTCCCAAAATCCTGAGAGGAGAATGGAGAAGGGATTGAGACATGGCTATCCCTCCAGGGAATGATTTCTCACTTTTGTCTCTCTCTGGGGAGCGCATGCACCCTATGGCACCTATATACCATATGGTTTTTATGTACTCAGTTTTAGTTTAAACACATTAAAAGTATATCTGTTAAACTGTATGTGAATGGTACTGCTCAGGGATTTGGTAAATGTTGAGGCTGCTTTTATATAAGAAAGTAACAATGGATTGTTTATACTTTCCATCCCCATAATAGGGGTTGGGCAAGCTATGACTGTTTTTATTTTAAAAATAAATAAATAAAAGTTTTATTGGAACACAGCCCCATCCATCTATCTAGGTTTGCATATGTGACAGCGAAGTAGTTACATTTGACCTGCAAAGCCTAGAATGTTTACTCTCTGGCCCTTTACAGAAAGTTTGCCAGTCCCTTCCTTTTAATAATGGCATTATATAAATAATAATTAAAATTAATAAAGAAAAAATTATTAAAAAAAAGAAAAAGGGACCAGCAGTTAGCATAATGGCTATGTCGCTGGACTCCCATGTAGTTGACCGCTGTGCACGTCCCGGACCTGGTGGCTTAAAATCTTAGACCGGGCGCGTGTGCATGTGTGCCCAAGATCCCAAGAGGAGAATAAAGGAGAAGGAATTGCAGTGTGGCCATCCCCCCAGGGGGGTGATTTCTCGCTTTCTGTCTGTCTGTCTGGTGAGTGCACGCACCCTATAGCCAAAACCTTTCAAAAAAAAAAAAGAAAGAAAAAAGAAAACTGTGGGGAAGAGAATTCGTTTAAATTATTTCAATTTACTACCAGATATTTGTAAGTTCATATTATATAGTTAGATAATGAATCGTGTACATGTGAATTTTAATTATTTTCCTGATTCCTCAAATAAAGTATGTATTTACAAAAAAAAATGGCATTATACATTTACAAAAATGTAACGGGCGTCCCTATTTCTTTCTCTCCTGGTTCTCTTTGTCTTCTCTGTTTCTATCTCCTGCTCTTTGTTGTCTGTTTTTTTCCCATGTTTACAGCTGGTTTTTCTGGTATTGAATATGGGAATCTCCCTTTAGAAGCTTTTCTTTTTCTTCCTTCTTTTCTCCTTTCATTGTTCTGTCATAGCTGGCAATAATTTAGGACTAAGAGATTTTTTGGTCTTAGTTATTTAGAATTTTATGTCCTGAAGGTTTAAAATACACTACTAGAATGTATTATGTTTCTTTCTCAAAAACAGAAAATCCAGTTGTTAAAAGAAGAATATTAAGAATGGAATTTTTTCCTTGATCAGCCAGTCTGCCCCAAAAGATTCCCAAGGGAAATAAATCTACAGGGGCAGGGTCACATCATTGACTGGGCTGGACCGTGTAGAGAGCTGCTTTTGCCTGAGCTAGAGCCAGTCTAGAATTTAGAATCCAAAGGAAATCAGCAGCCAGCTTTACTTTCTTCACTGTTAAAATCAGACCACACTGAACCTTAGATTTGACACTCTAGAGATCAGAAACACCAAACCCGAGCGTGCCAGCTCTTAAGGAGAAATGATAGCAATACTCAGATATTAAGGTTGCCCATTCCAGTTAATAAAGCTATTTTAAAGATGGACTTAAATTACAGTGGCATTTAGCCAGGAGACCCAGAAATGCCCAAGTTCTACTTTTGATCAGCTACCCCTGTCCTCCCAAAGTACCCACAGAAATATATGCTTAGAGAATAGTGGCCAACAAAGGAGCAATTGTCCTCCCTGCTCAGCATGATGGAAGTTCCAAAGTTCCGTACTGGAAATGTGGCTTCTGTAATTACCTTAAACCACTCCTAGCATTACAGCCCTACCATGGGAATGGGAAAGGTGGTTGATGGCCTGGGGAGCTCCTTTGAGCACCCCAGTAACAAGCACCAAACTGAATTAGTTTTGATATCCCAGGCCTCCTTATTTTATGTTGAAATTAGTAAAAAAAGTTTGATAATATTGTGTCATCAGAAAAGCCATGATGCATTTTTGTATAGAAAATGAATAGACCAGAACAGCCCTTCTTCAAGAGGCAGACAGCTCCATGGCTCCTGTGATCTAGCCATTTGGGGAGAAAGGAAGATGTCCCACTGATAACTGGGCCTCCAGCATCCAAAACTCGCGTGAAGGTTAAGGTGCTGGACAGTCCCACATGGCCTACCACAGTTCGAGTCCTGGACCTGGTGGCTTCCTTTCTCACTTTCCCTCTCTCTCTTTCTCTGTGTCTCTCTCTGGCCAAATTAAAATAAATGAATGAATAAATCAAATTAAATAAATAATTATTTTTAAAAAAAGAAAAGAAAATGAATAGAAAAGTACATCACGACTTTTCCGACCACACAGTAGTATTTTCTTAAATGTTTAGGCTAGAAGTGTGCGCCACCTAGTGGCTATGTGTATTAAAACAGGGAGCAGAAATAGGTGAGAGGAAGGAGGAAATGGATCTTCCTGGGGGTGTATATAAGAGTGATCAGATTATAAACTGTGTGTTCTTCTTTTCATTTTTAATTGAAATAAAATTTGTGATAGCATCTTACAAACTTAAAATAGCTGTGTCACTATTCTTTTTGCTAGAAGGCACATGTGCTCACCCAAGGTAGGGTGGCAGCTGAGAGGGGAGAAACACTCTGTCTAGTAAATGGTCCTACTGGAATCCTCTTTTCTCCATCCCTCTCTCAGGATTTTGAGCATGCATGCACATACACCCTGGCATGTTTCTCAAGCTGCCGGGTCCAGAACTCAAACCAGGGGACTAGCCATGTGGGATCCAGCTGCTTTAACCACCAGGCCACAAAGCTGGCCCATTTTCTGTTGTTCAAGTCAAACATGTTTACAGTAGTTCTTTATTCCCATTAAATTTGTTTCCAGTCCCCACATGTTTCCATGTGATTCAGTTTCTTCTAAATCAGGGTGCATGTAAGCAGTGTAAACTTATTTAAATACTAATATAATCCAAAATAAAACTAATAAGGTCCAGGCCAGCTGAGCCTGGTGGTTAGAGCAGCTGGATCCCACATGACCAACTATGTGGTCACCAGGCACATGCGCGTGCACACACCCAAAATCCTGAGAGGAGAATGAGGAGAAGGGATTATGGCATGGCCATCCCTCCTGAGGGGTGCTCTTTCACTTTCCCTCTCTTTCTCTAGCAAGTGCATGCACCTTGAAGAAATTGCTTGTCTCCTAAGTCATATATGTATTCTAAAGCCAGTATGATATTTTAATAATTGTACCACTACACATTCACCTTTGATATTTATTTATTAATGATCATTGATAATAGGCATTGGCTTATTACATAAAGGATGATCTCAGCCCCTTAAGAGTAGGACTTGGAAATGGACATTTAAATACATAATTGCAACAAAATGTGACAAATATAACCTGTATGATAAAAATCTATGTAGTAGTTGGGGAGAGAAGGCAGAAAGGAAGGAATGGTTGATCTAACAGGGTGATTTAAGAAAGACTTTATAGAGGAGTGATACATGCATTCTATCCTGAAAGCTGAGAAATTGTTCAGGTGGATAGGGAGTGGACTTTGCAGGCAGAAGGAACAACTTAGACAAAAACTCAGAGGTATAGGGAACCAGCAGTTAGCGTAATGGCTATGTCACTGGACTCCCACATAGTCGACCGCAGTTCGTGTCCCGGACCCGGTGGCTTAAACTCACGCCGGGCGCGTGTGCATGCGTGCCCAAGATCCCAAGAGGAGAATGGAGGAGAAGGGATTGCGGCGTGACCATCCCCCTAGGGGGTGATTTCTCGCTTTCTGTTTCTATGTCTCTGTCTGTCTGGGGAGCGCACGCGCCCTACAGTGAAAAACTCAGAGGCATAAAGCAAAATGGTGCCTTTCAGGAACTATAGCTAATTCAGTGAGATATCAGACTACAGAAGAGGGCAAGGGCCAGGAAATGAGCTTTGTGGCACTTAAGGAGTTTGAACTATTAGATCACTGGAAAAGTCATAACCTTTTTTTCTGTTTCTCTATGCAAAAATGTGTCATGACTTTTCTGGTGACCCTATATCTAATAGACAATGAAGATTCTTTTTTTGTTTTTTAAGAATTATTTATTTAATTTTATTATGATTATTATTTTTAATTTGACCAGAAAGAGATGGGGATGAGGAAGTGAGAAAGCAAACCTCCTGGTCCAGGATATGAACCATGGTTGGCTGTGTTGGAGTCCAGCACCTTAACCACTATGCCACCTGCTAACCCCATCAATGAAGATTTTTAAAAGAATTTTTAGCAGGAAGCAAACATCATTAGATTTTTTATCTTAGAAAAAAATTTCCTGTAGTTCTGTGGAAAATGGTTCAAAAGAATACATGACTAGAGCTAGTAAAGCCAGCTGGGCCAGTGGCTCATGCTTAACAATCGTTGACTGAAGATGTAGGGTGGATTAAAGAAGGGGTGGAGTCTTGGATAACTTCCCTTCTTCTAACTTGGGTGACAGCTGGTGCTGTTCACCAAGATAAGAATATAGAAAGAAGAGTGAATTTTGAGACAGGAGTTCCATTTTGACTATCTAGACTGTGAGGTGGCCATGAGTAAGTGGCAGTCTTTAGTAGGCAGCTGGATTTATGAGTACAGAAATTAAGAGGAAGTCTGGGCCAGAGAAGGACATTTTAGAGTCCTGAGCAGATTAGATGGCAATGAATGAGATTATGGCAGTTCCCCACACCCAGAGGGAACCTAGGCTTACACTTACTGACATAACCCAGTATTTTGGGGGCTAGACAGTTTAGAGAAATAGGAGTAAGTAGTATACAGAAGGTAAAGGGAGGGGCCAGCAGGTGGTGTGGTGGTTAAGAGTGCTGGGCTTTCACATGACCGACCGCAGTTCAAGTCCTGGACCTGGCGGCTTGCTTTCTCATTTTCCCTCTCTCTTTCTCACTCTGTCACTCAGGTCAAAATAAAACCAATCAAAAAATAAAGTTAAATAAAATAATTATAAAAAAATAAGAAGTTAAAGGGAAGGAAAGTTTAAAGAGGAAAACAACCACATAAAAACTAAGGAAGATGAGAACCAAAGAATCCAATGAATTGGGCAACTAGAAGGGTGTTGTTGTCCTTTGCAAGTCAGTTAGGTGAAGTGGTATGTAGGGGAGATGGGAGAATAGGATGGAAGGCAGAAACAAAAGCAATGGGTCAAAAGAGAATGGACGATAAAGAAGTATGAAATAATCATTGATATTTTTATATGGATCCTGACTAGGAAAGGGAGAAGGGGTTTGACTGTATTGGATAATTGTAAAAAGTGCTACGAGACTGGAGAGTGGGGTAACAGAGGGTGAGGTGGGATGGGTGTTGCCTCTTAGAACCTGCCCTCTCATTGCCTGATGTCCTCTGCCTGTCTTTCACATAGTCGGGGCTGGTGTACACAGAGGATGAATGGCAAAAGGAATGGAATGAACTGATCAAACTTGCCTCAAGTGAACCTCGAATGCATCTAGGCACCAATGGAACCAACTGTGGTGGGTAAGTATGGCTTGGTGGAAGAGCAGGAAATAATCTTTGTGGAGCAATCATGGGACTGTGGATGCCCAGCATGGGATCTAGAGAGCTCTGTACTAAGAGGATGTTATAAGGAAAGAGAGGAGCCATGACAGGAGCATAGAAGTGTATAACAGCATGGAATGTTCTAGGAACTATAGGTAGATCATCACTGCAGGAAAACAGAGTGTGTGGTGCAAAATGATAGATGATGCTGGGCAATCCACAATATCGTGTGACATGCTAAGATTTCTCTTAGACTGTGCTAAGGAATTAGAATTATATCCTATCCAGACTTTGAGAACCTGCAGAACAAATGACCCAGTATCTTTATTTATTTATTTTAAAATTTGCCAGAGGGTGTGTATGCTTGCCAGAGACAGAGAGGGAAGGGGAAAAAGCACTTCCCCAGTGGGGCGTGATCACATAGCCTTCTTCATTTCTCTGTTCTATTGGGATTCGGGGCATATATGCATCTGTGCCTGGCATGTTTTTCAAGTTGCTAGGGCCAGGATTTCAACCATGTAGTTGGGCATGTGGCATCTGGTTTCCTTAGCCACCAGGTCTCAATGCTGGACTGATTTAGTGCCTTAAACAAATAAATTGCAATAAACAAACAAACAAGATCAGGAAACCTAGGTTTAAAGACATTTAAGAAATATATCAACTAATCAGCTTGTGTAGACATTTATAAGGCAGTTGGGGAAATGAGAACAATGTCTATGTGTTTGATTATTGTTAAATTTAGGAGTCATTTATTTTATTTATTTATTTATTTATTTATTTTGAGAGGCTTTCACTACAGGGCACGTGCGCTTGCCAGACAGACAGAGACAGAAAGTGAGAAATCACCCCGGGGGGATGGTCATGCCGCAATCTCTTCTCCTCCATTCTCCTCCCAGGATCTTGGGCATGCACGCACACGCACCTGGCATGAGTTCTAAGCCACCGGTCCATGATGCAAACCGCGGTCGACTACGTGGGAATCCAGCAACATAGCCATTACGCTAACTGCTGGTTCCCATGGGGTCCTTTATTTTTTCAAGATAGAAACTGAAATATATGTGGATGAAATGATGATGTTCAGTGTTTGCTTTTCAATAACCTAGTGGAGTAAGTAAGTGATAATAGATTGAGGTAAAGGTGAAATGAGATTGACCTTACATTTATGATTGTTGAAGGTGGGTGACAGATACCCATAAGTAACACAAAAATATAGGATAGTAGTCTTCCTAATATTGAATATGTTTAAACTATCTGAAATTTTCCATAATAGAAAGTTAAGAAGTATAAGCTATTGAAACTCCATTATGCATAAGAATAATCTGGGAGAATTGTTTAAAATACTGATTTCTAGACTGCCCCTCAAGAAAATCCAGTTGAGTTGGACTGAGGTAGGTTCAGAAATCCACATATGTAACAAGCACCAAATGTAAAACAACATTGCTTAGTGGGTGAGGAGCCGTTGAATTTTGAGTATGAGAATGGCAGGAGCAAATTTTTGGATTTTTTATTTTTAGGGAGAGATTTTTGCTATAGGGTGCTCACCAGAGAAACAGAGAGAGGCAGAGAGATACAAAGTGAGAAATCACCGCCCGCGGAGGATGGCTGCACTACAATCCCTTCTCTACTTTCCTCTCAGGATTTTGGGCACACACACACACATGCACAGCATGAGTTTCAGTCCTCTGGGTCTGAGACTCGAACCACGGCCATGTGGGAATCTAAGTGCCTTAACCACCATGCCACCTGCTGGCCCCAATGATATGTATTTGAAAATGCTGACACCAGAGTGGATGATGAAATGGAGAGGAGTGGGAGCAGAGTCAGTTGGGGTAACCCAGGAAAGAGGCCCAGGGATGGGATGAGAGTGGTAGATTGAAGATGGGCCAGAGGAGACAGAAGAAACACATAAAGTTTGGAATTGGTCAAGCTAGGTGGTTAATTTGAAGGAGAAAGATAAAGAGCAGCAAATTTTCTGAGTTGGCTACTGGATAGATGTGAAGTTCTTTAAATATGAAAATATAAAATAAAAATAAAAATAAATAAGGGAACATAGGGAGCAGAATTTTGGGTTTTTCTTTTTCAGTAAGACATACTGAGGGTGGTTGTGGTGGATAAAGTAGGCAATTGTGTGAGTTGTTGGATAGAGACCTGGGGGAGGTTGTTGAGCAGAATGAATATTAAAGAGAGATGGATTATTTCCCGAATCCTAACAGGGCCATCACATATATTTTCTTGGATCTCCCCATCTATGAAGCAGAAGTAGAAACAGCCATGGGAGTATAAAATAATCAGCTATAACAGTGGCAGCTTCAAGATTGGAAAACCAGGAAAGGATGTTCTTCTTTCTTCTCTGCGAAACTGATCTTCTGGGGTCACTTACTTTGTTTCCTTCCATTTCCCCTCCACCGTACCCCTTCCACTCTCTTCCCATCTGCAATTCTAGGGTGGAGAGTTCAGAGGAGCCTGTATATGAGAGCCTGGAAGAATTCCACGTCTTTGTCCTTGCCCATGTGCTCAGGAGGCCCATAGTGGTTGTGGCAGACACCATGCTGAGGGACTCCGGAGGGGAAGGTGAGCCAGCTGTTCAGTCCTCACTCCAGCCTGGGCACCTCCTGTTTCCAGAGCCTCGAGCTAAGTACTAGGAGGAGGGCAGAAAAAGGGATTTATAGACCCCAGGGGGAAAAAATAATGTACAAATTAGAATAATGTAAAGCTCTCAAAATATTCAGAGTACAGCAGTTGGGGTTAATTGACAAGGCTTCTTGAGAAGAATTATGAAATAACTTGGGAGTAAAGGGGGGACTCAGTCTGCAGAGTGGGGTATAGGCATTGTCCACTAGGCAAAAATACAGCCTTAATAATAATTGTCTTGGTTTCCTGCAGCATTTGCCCCTATTCCCTTTGGGGGAATCTATCTGCCCTTGGAGGTCCCAGCCAGCCAGTGTCACCGCTCCCCTCTGGTGCTTGCCTATGATCAGGCCCACTTTTCTGCACTCGTGTCCATGGAGCAGAAGGAGAATGCCAAGGAGCAAGGTGCGAATGCAGTCTCTGTCTCTGCTGTCTGTGGTCTGTGTTATTTTCACTAGGGAAAATGGAAGTGAGAACTAATATAGGAGGAGAGACTTGAGTGGCATGCAAGCCCAGACAGTGCTTGTTGATGCTGTTTTACTAAACTGTGAGATAGAGCAGAATTTTCAAATTAAAAAAGGAAAAGACTTGAGCAAGACCCAGCCACATGCTGTATGCTGCTGCTTGGCAGGCTGAGACCACCTTGAGACCCAGGTTCAATTCCCAGCCTACCTGAAAGTGGTGCCCAGTGGTGTGTGCCTATAGTCTACACACACACACACACACACACACACACACTCACACACCTGGGTTTGGGGGAAAGCATAGCCTGTGTCTCCTGTGCTACAGTAAAGGGCTTATAAGGTCGTGGGACCTTCCACACGATGCCTTGCTATATTTGTCTTAATTGACAACTTTGAATTCTCTGAGTACATAATTAACTAGCAAGGACACCATGAAAGTGGAGAACCATGGAGGTTAGTGGCCTAAACCATGTGCTGGGTAGTAAGAGAAAACTAGCCTGTTGGTTTTTAATTCAGGAGTAGAGAAGTGGCTATAGTTGGATCGTGTGATTTTAGTGAAGTCAGTCTCTAAAAGCACCTGCTCAGGTGCTTGCGTCTCTCCTCAAGGAGACAGACTTTCTGATGGCAATTTTTTCTTTTTTTCTCTCCAGCTGTGATCCCACTTACGGATTCAGAGCATAAGCTATTGCCCTTGCACTTTGCTGTGGACCCTGGGAAAGGCTGGGAGTGGGGCAAGGATGACAGTGACAACGTCCGATTGGCCAGGTGAGGCAGGCCTGGCCTCTCCATCTGCTTTGTAGCTCGGATCTCTCCATATGCAGTGTCTGTCTCCTGGAGATTTTTCCTCAGTTTAGGCAAGACAGTCACATTCTAACTCCTGCTTCATGGGTAAGGTGGGGTGGCTGAAGGTTGGGCACCAGGACTCCTGAATTGGGGGGCTGCTACCTTGCCCTGTGAAAGAGACAGGGATTCTGGGATCTCAACTTGGTCTTTTCTTATAATAAGAAAAATGATCTTGCACTGACTGATACATCCATTCTTGAAGGCCCTAAACAGTGATTAGAAAATTGAGATAATCAAATTATAGAAAAATGACTTTCCAGACAACCTAATAGTTTGCTCTGAGTTTTTGCCTTTTGGGAATTTAAACAGACAAGAAAAACACATCCCCTCTCACCCTGATCCCATCCTGCTCCCTCCACACCTTCCCCGTGGACAGCATGTGAATGTAAAAGCTCCTGCCTTACCTCTTGCCCAGTGCTTTCTTCTCTGGGTCCTTGCAACAGGGTCCTAGCCAAGACTTAAAAGTTTACGGCTTAAGACTTTTTTTTTTTGGAGAGGTTTTCGCAATAGGGCGTGTGCGCTCACCAGACAGACAGAGAGAGACATAGAGACAGAAAGCGAGAAGTCACCCCCTAGGGGGGATGGTCATGCCGCAATCCCTTCTCCTCCATTCTCCTCTCAGGATCTTGGGCACGCACGCACACGCGTCTGGTGTGAGTTTTAAGCCACTGGGTCTAGGACGCGAACCACAGTCGACTGCGTGGGAGTTCAGCGACATAGCCATTATGCTAACTGCTGGTTCCCCACGGCTTAAGACTTTTTAAAAGTAAGTTCTGGGAATCAGCAGTTGGTGTAATGGCTGTGGCGCTGGGCTTCCATGTAGTCGACCGAAGTTCGAGCCCTGGACCCAGTCGCTTAAACTCACGCCAAGTGTGTGTATGTGCATGCCTAAGATCCCAAGAGGAGAATGGAGGAGAAGGGATTGTGGTGTGGCCATCCCCCCTAGGGGGTGACTTCTCGCTTTCTGTCTCTATGTCTCTGTCTTTCTGGTGAGCGCATGCGCCCTATAGCAAAAATTCCTCAAAAAAAAAAAAAAAAAAGTTCTCACCTAATGGTCAAAAGCTCCTTCCAAAGAATATTTACAACAGCAATGGTAATGGGTACTGCCTGGTTATCTCCTATTTTTCAGACACTGAGCTGGGTCCTTTCCAAAACATGGTTTTAGCCTCACAACAATCCTGCAGGTTAGATGTTATCTCCACCCATTATCAACAGGACTACAGGACTACAGGGAGGTTGAAGTGCCTCCCTCAAGGTCATAACCCTGAGTCATTAGCCTGAGCTTGGTGGAACTGTAATTCAAAGCCAGCCCTGTGCCACGTAGCTCTTTCTCATCATTTCTCTCATCTGTGTCACTCCACTTTACTTTTAAAAAGTCACAATAATTTTAATTATGTTTTTCTCCTTTTCACAGTGTAATTCTGTCCCTAGAGGTCAAATTGCATTTGCTTCATAGCTACATGAATGTGAAGTGGATCCCACTGTCCTCTGATGCACAGGTGAGACCTCCCCACCCCTACCCTTGTATGTTCTTATTTTCAGAGACAGGGAGCACAAGGCGAGTTAGCGGTGGTCTCCTGAACTGTTCTCAGTGGGTGTTTGCGTTAAGGCTAGGAGTAAGTGGAAGTTGTCAGATAAGTTCCAAATAATTCTTTTTCTCGCCTTTCTGTTTCTTCCTCCTCTCCATTTTCTACATCTCCTCTCCAACTAGGCTCTGCATTTTGGAAACATTCTTTAAGAAAAGTGTTTTGTGGGACCAGCAGATGGCGTAATAGTTATCACTGGACTCCCACGTAGTTGACCACTGTTTTGAGTCCCAGACCCAGAGGCTTAAAACTCATGCTGGGTGCATGTGCGTGCATGCTCAAAATCCTGAGAGAAGAATGGAGGAGAAGGAATTGTGGCGTGACCATCCCCCCAGGGAGTGATTTTTCGCTTTCTGTCTCTGTTTCTCTCTGTCTCTCTGGTGAGCACATGCGCCCTATAGCAAAACAAACAAACAAAAACAAAAACAAAACAACCAAAACACCTCCAAAACTATTTAAAAAAAAAACCTATAAGAAAAATGTTTTGGACTTTTTGCTGAACTCCAGATTATCTTTACTTAGTCCTAAGCCCTGTGTAGACAGACCTCTGTTTGGGCACCTTGGCACCAGAAGGTGACAGAATATCTTAAGGTCCTCCTGTTCCTGTGGGTTCTGGGCTAGAATAGGAACACAGGATTGATCCTTTCCGATGCGAAAAGTGGAGGATAAGTGAAATGGTCAGACTTGGTTGACTGTAGTCAGTCAAGACTTTGTTGAGTTTAATTTTTTTTTTTTTAGAGTTGCACGCGCCCTATAGCAAAACAAACAAACAAAAACAAAAACAAAACAACCAAAACACCTCCAAAACTATTTAAAAAAAAAACCTATAAGAAAAATGTTTTGGACTTTTTGCTGAACTCCAGATTATCTTTACTTAGTCCTAAGCCCTGTGTAGACAGACCTCTGTTTGGGCACCTTGGCACCAGAAGGTGACAGAATATCTTAAGGTCCTCCTGTTCCTGTGGGTTCTGGGCTAGAATAGGAACACAGGATTGATCCTTTCCGATGCGAAAAGTGGAGGATAAGTGAAATGGTCAGACTTGGTTGACTGTAGTCAGTCAAGACTTTGTTGAGTTTAATTTTTTTTTTTTTAGAGTTTTTTTCTATAGGGTGAGTGCCCTCGCCAGAAAGACAGAGAGAGACAGAGAGATAAAAAGCGAGAAATCGCCCCCCAGCGGGGATGACCATGCCGCAATCCCTTCTCCTCCATTCTCCTCTCGGGATCTTGGGCATACACGCACATGTGCCCGGCGTGAGTTTAAGCCACCGTGTCTGGGACTCATACCGCGGTCGACTACATGGGAGATTAGCAAAATAGCCATTATGCTAACTGCTGATCCCTTGAATTTAATTTTTTTTTTTTTTAGAGATTTTCACTATAGGGTGCATATGCTTGCCAGACAGACAGAGAGAGACATAGAGACAGAAAGCAAGAAATCACCCCCCAGGGGGGATGGTCACGCTGCAATCCCTTCTCCTCCATTCTCCTCTCAGGATCTTGGGCATGCACGCACATGCACCCGGCATGAGTTTTAAGCCACCGGGTCTGGGACGTGAACCATGGTCAATTACGTGGGAGTCCAGTGACATAGCCATTATGCTAACTGTTGGTTCCCCCTTGAATTTAATTTTGAGTAGAATATGACATAAAGAAATTTATTATAAAGTACATTATAGTGTCTATAAAATATTCCTCTTAGACCATCTGGTGGCATGGTGATTAAGGTGACTAGATCCCACATGGCTGACAGCATAGTTCGAGTTCCAGACACATGGCTTAAAAAGTACATCAGGACTGTGTGTATCCATGACCAAAATCCTAAGAGGAGCATGGAGAAGGGATTGCTGTGTGGCCATCCCCCCTCTCCCCCCCCCGGGGGGGGGCGGTGCTTTCTCATTCTCTCTCTCTATCTTTCTAATGAGTGCATATGCCCTATAGCAAATAGAAAAAAAAAAATCTCTCCTAACCCAGAGGCCGTGTATTGTACCATTGGGTGCTCATTGCTCAGAAGAGTAGGCAGGCTTCATTTTGACTATCTCCTTGTTATAGAAAGGAGTCAAAATGTAGCAGGTGGAAGAAAAATTAGATATGAAATACATCTTGTTCTTTGAGAGAGATCTGATGGGGCCAGGAAAGGATGGTACCCTCCTGGGTGACTCTCCCATCAGGCTAGCAGCCCTTGTCTGGAGCCAGGCACTCCGTCCCAGGATAGTTTCCAGGGGTGTTACCACCCTACTTCCAGATAGCTAACCCTATAGCAATGGTGGCAACCAGATGTTGGGGCTAGAGAGCCCTGGGGATTGCCCAACCCAGACCAGTAGGATGACTGTCAGGACTGTTCTTGTCTCTTCCAGGCTCCTCTGGCCCAGCCTGAGTCCCCCACGGCCTCAGCAGGAGATGAACCCCGGTCCACTCCCGAGTCCGGGGAATCAGACAAGGAGTCAGTTGGCAGCAGTTCTACCAGCAACGAGGGCAGCAGGCGGAAGGAAAAGTCAAAGCGAGACCGGGAGAAGGACAAGAAGCGAGCAGATTCCGTGGCTAACAAACTGGGCAGCTTTGGCAAAACCTTGGGCAGCAAGCTCAAGAAGAACATGGGTGGCTTGATGCACAGCAAGGGCTCTAAGCCTGGAGGGGCGGGCACGGGGTTGGGGGTGAGCAGTGGCACTGAGACCCTGGAGAAGAAGAAGAAAAACTCCCTGAAGAGCTGGAAGGGTGGCAAGGAGGAGGCAGCTGGGGATGGGCCTGTGTCTGAGAAGCCTGCAGTGGAGGCTGTCGGGAATGGAGGGAGCAAGTATAGCCAGGAGGTGATGCAGAGCCTGAGCATTATGAGGACTGCAATGCAAGGGGAAGGGAAGTTTATTTTTGTTGGAACCCTGAAGATGGGTCACCGGCACCAGTATCAGGAGGAGATGATCCAGCGCTACCTTTCTGATGCCGAGGAGCGATTCCTGGCAGAGCAGAAGCAGAAGGAAGCAGAGAGGAAGATCATGAATGGAGGGGTAGTGAGCGGGCCTCCTCCCGCCAAAAAGGCAGAGCCCGATGGCGGGGAGGAGCAGCTGCCAGCTTCCCCAGCAGAGTCCAAGGCAATGGCATTCTCTACTGGCTATCCTGGGGGCTTTACTATCCCTCGGCCTTCTGGGGGTGGAGTTCACTGCCAGGAACCCCGGAGGCAGTTAGCAGGGGGGCCATGTGGGGGGGGCCTACCACCTTATGCCACCTTCCCCAGACAGTGTCCACCTGGGCGATCCTACCCCCACCAGGACAGCGTTCCCTCTCTGGAGCCAGGCAGTCACTCCAAGGATGGAGTTCACAGGGGGGCCTTGTTACCAGCCCCCTCCCGCGTGGCTGATTCCTATAGCAACGGCTACAGAGAGCCCCCTGAGCCAGATGGATGGGCTGGAGGTCCCCGGGGGCTTCCCCCAACCCAGACCAAATGCAAGCAACCGAACTGCAGCTTCTATGGACACCCTGAGACAAACAACTTCTGCTCCTGCTGCTACAGGGAAGAACTGAGGCGGAGGGAGCGGGAACCGGGTGGGGAGCTGCTGGTGCACAGGTTCTGAATTGGGGGGGAGCCTTGGAGGGCAAGGGGGCTAAACAAAGAAAGTTAAGCTAACTAATGGGCTCCTCGAGAACCAGCCCCTAGGTTGATGGGGCAATGCAGTAATGGTGGGAGCCTGGCTGGGAACTCTGAAGTGTGTCTGTCTGGAGTGCTGTCAGGCTGGCAAGGGCAGGTCAGGGCTGGGCAGTGCCTCAGGGGCTGTACTATTCCTTTGCAGAGTTTGACTTGATGGAACTGAGGAGGGACGGGGAAGATGGTGATTCTGTCTCATAACTCCTCGGTCCCATCTCAGGACCTAAGGGAATACAGTAGTAGGGGAAGGTTTGGTGTGTGGGGTGGGAGGAGGTGGGCAGAAGTCTGGGGAGGAACAAGTAAAGGAAGTTCTCAGTCAATAAAAAAAAATAGACCAAAGTTATTTAGGTTTGGGGAAAAAAGCACATGGTGGTGGAATTGACAGTTGGAGGGAAACTGGGAAATTGGCCAAATTTGCCATTGATTTGAATCAGGGTAGAAATTAAGATGGGATAAATTCTTCCTGAAGGATCTAGAAAGCGGAGTAATGTGTGCTAGTGGGTGTTCCTTGGGAGGAGGAGGTGGTGAGATGGGAAAGGAAGGAACTTCAAAGGGGAATCCTTTTCCTCTTAAGTTTGATTTCCTTCTAAAGTCTTCTGTCATACGTTCTAGTTTGAGAGGAGATTGCCAGTTGGCCCCTAACATTTCCCATCCTTTTTGAGGGCCGAACTCAGCTAAGTGAAGATGATTTTATTTAAAAGGAAAAAAATAAAACTCTTTATTTTATTAAAAAAAAAAAAAAAGTTCCCTCTGGGAAAGGGAAGAGAGTGATGAGAAGAGCAGCAGTGTGTTGAATTTCCTCGATGGATCTGGTTTTTAGCTCCTTAGCAATAACTGCACGTCAGGGTTTGAGTGCACCATGGAGGGGTGGGGGAAGGACAGACATTTGGCCAGACAGTTTCAAACAAAACCAAAACCCTAAATAGAGCACTACCATCCTCTGCTGCTGCATTTCTGTAGAAAGCAACTTATTTTATTGACTAATTTTTTTTAAGGAAAAGAAAAACAGACCCCAATAAGTAAAAATGTTTAACAAATGATTTCTTTTTTCCTATTTAAGTGATTCTTTCTCCTTCTCTCTCTACTTTTGGAGAATGAATTTAACATCCCGGCTTCTTTTGTTAAGCCATAGCTGACCTTAATCTGTGGTTAGTTTATTAAAATAATTTAAAAAAATACTTTGTAAGAAAAGATATTTTTGATATTAGGACTGACGCTGAAACATGGGGTGGGGGTTAGGGACAATTTATAAAAAAAGGTAGTTAGAGAAATATATTTTAGTGAACTATCACCACAGATCACAGATTACTCCCAATGAGCTAATCTGTCTTTGGATTTCTCCCTTCTCCTGACCCAACCCTGATCTCCAGGGGGTGGGAGTGGGCTGTGGACACAGTAGGGGGAGCTCCTTTGCATTTTGCACAAAGCACAAGTCTGAACAGCCTGTGCTCTGGCCAGAGCCATTCTAAGCTTTAAACCAGAAGACCTATCCTGGACCAATTTTCCTTTTTCTTTATATTTCTGGGGAAAAAAAAATCAACTATGCAATTGTATACATTCCTGGGTACATGTGAAGAAGAGGAATAAGTGTACTTAAGTGTCCAGAGTATTGATTGGGGCTATTTTTCTATACTTGGATTTCTTCTTTGAAGTATGTATTCACAACCCATCCTGCGGAATGTAACCCCACATTTAATACAAGACAGCCATGGGTTGGGAGGCGTTTGTGTTGGGGGGACTCTTATTTGCCTATGTTCCTTCTGTCCCTCAGGATAGTTTTCATCCCATTTCCCTTGATGAGAAAACCAGTCAAGACTGTCCTCCTCATTGGAACTGCTCACAGTTAGAAAGCTTCCTTCTTAACAAACTCAAAAGTCACTTATTTTCCAAATCTGATATTCTGATAACTTAATCATTTCCTTGGCTTTTAATTCATTTGAAAACAGATTTATTTTAAGGAAACAATGAGGTTCCAAAGGAAGGGATATATATATTTCTAAGTAGGGTCAGAACCTAGCAATAGAATGAGATAAGCATCCTCTGGTACAGAATTTAAAGGGGTACCTTAATCAAGATAAATACCTTTGAGAATGAACAATTTTTTTGACTTTTTGAGAGATTTTTGCTATAGGGTATGTGCGCTCACCAGAGAGACAGAGAGAGGTAAAGTGAGAAATCACACACACACCCCATGGGAGGGCCACGCCTCAATCCTTTCTCTTCATTCTCGGAATTTTGGGCATGCATGCACATGTGCCTGGTGTGAGTTTCAAGCTGCCAGGTCTAGGACTTGGACCTCAGTCAGCTAGGAGTCCAGCAACGGAATCGCTATGCCATCTGCTGGTCTCAAGAATGAACATTTTTGTAAATTAATGAAAAAAAAAAAATCCATGCTGAACAAAAATATAATTGTAAATAAAAATAGGATCTGACTGGACTGGTATTAGGGTGAGGGAAGTGAAGTCAAATTCAGAAAGTATGGAGATGAATCCTGTCATGATTTAAATTTTTAATATATGGCTCATCATGGATTTTTTTTTACATTGAGTTTTAGAAAATATTGCATTAAAATATTTATCTTGGTTACTGGGTTTTTTGGCATCCCTTAAATTTTGTGCCCATGGTGAGTGCCTTACTCACCTCACCCTAGTCCTGTCCCTGTTTCTTGGGTTTGAGTAACACGGGTGAGAGCACCAAGCACCTCTGTGTGAGCCTCTGTCCCCGAACACACAGCACCCTTGGGTGGCTCATGACCACAGCTGGTGCCTGCACTACTTGCCCAGCCTTCCCTGAGGCCTGGACCAATAGGAATGGAGACAAGGAAGGTGTCACTTCTCTGCTGGATTGCTGTGTTTGGATTTGATCTGTTATTAGACCCTAGTTAATACTTTTATTTTTAAAAACAGGACAAATTAACAAAAACAAATATTGTATCATGCTTGTTTTTGTTTTTATTTATAAATTAGCCAATCTCAATTCATTTTGCAATCTTTTAAAGAGAAAAAAGATGAAATTTCAGGGTGCAGTTGGGAGGTCCTGGGGCAATTGTGGTAACATGGGGCTTTAGGCCCCGGAACTTTTTATTAAGAAATATTCTTTATTTGAGAAGGTAACTATTTACTGAGGCATTAAAAACACCTCTCCATTCTAAGGGCGAGGAACCCTGAGACAATGGATGTTCTGTGTAGGGGATAGTGATGTTGGTTTTACTCTAGGCTTTGGGAGAGGGGTTGGGTAGGATGGGGTGAAAGAATAATGCCTGGGAAATGAAGCCAGACTAAGAATGGCTGGTGGTATTTTGGGGAGGTGAGGGGGTGGAAGAGGCAAGCCCGTGCAGTCCCAGTGCTGGAGAGAAGGGAGGGAGGGGCAGCTGCTATGCACTCCCAGGAGCAGAAATTCCTTAGTGAAGGTGGTATGTGAGAGAAAGGGGGAGGAAGACCCCATAACTCTAGGTGAGGTATGATTATCATCTCTCAGGCTTATATTTAAGTGCACTTAGTTCCTTTAATCCAGGGCATCTGGGGTACCTACTGAAGTTTTTAATGGAGAGGGGAGGTTTTCAGGGTTTTCTCCTTTTGATTTAAAATAGGCCTCTCCACCCTTTCTCAACTCCATCCTCATGGGGCAAGTATACTACAGTGTAGACCTCTGGATCCCTCCTTTAATATGCTGGTGTTACTGAGTTGGTGAGATTGAACCAAAAGTTTTTCCCCCATACCAGTTTTGATCAAGAAAATAAAAAGATTCTATTAAGTGTTTTTTAATTTTTAAAGATTCAGTTTCTTTAAGGAGTGGGAGATGCTATTAAATTCAGGGCTGTCCAGGGCCTTGAAAGAGGAGCCTTCCCTCTGCTGTAGGCTGTTTCTTCTCAAACAGAACTAAAGCCCTCAGAACAGTAACACCAACAGAAATCAGCAATGCTTTCATAGCATATATTTGGGAGGTGTTACTGAGCTCGGAAAACAGGAAGCTGGGTCCCAGTTACTTCTGAGAATCTAGCTTTTGCCATCATCCTTCTCGTTTCCCTGCCTCTCCAAGGTTCATCACATTGTTTTCTTAATAAATGAGCATTTCAGATATGATCGCCCCTGAGTTACTCAGAGACAACCCGCGTCTTCTTTCAAGGAGTAGGTACCCTTACATACAGCCACAGGTGAGAAGATAGAATGAGAAGCCCCTTCCAGGCCTGGAATCACCGACACCTCCGATTTTTCTATTTCCTTCTTTCCCTCCAGGCCCTTCAACTGCAGATTCAGTGAGTCATACAAGCACTCTCTCTGCAGATTCTCAGTCTGCAAATCACAGGGTGTTTTTGCCCCCCTACATTTAAGTTGATTAACAAAATATTTATTGTGATGTCCCCATGTGGACCTTCTCCATGCCACCTCTCCTCACTGGCCGTGTGGGTAAGGGGCAGTAGAAAAGAGCAATGGAAGCTGCCTGGCTGTAGCTAAGAGGAGTGGGGGTGGGCAGGACCTTGGCCTATTTCTGTGCTTATAACTGGATCTGTGACTCATTTTGTGAGTCACTCGGCTCCACCTCCCTCCTCCAGCCACCCCTCCCAGCAGCCTTCACTCCTGGCACAAACCTGCATCCAGACCAGGATTCTGAAAATGGAAAAATCTGACCCAGCGCCGCCGTGCTTCTCCACCCTTCCTTTCATCCAGTAAACTGCTGGGTGTGTGCTGGGGTGGGCAGAGGTGGTCTTCCCATTACTTCACCCTCAGCTGCTGCCCCCTTTTGTTCCCAGTTAGGTACTGATCCAAAATAGCACAGTTTAAGTCTCCCACTGATTTCCCTCATTCCATTGATGTTTTTTCCCCTGGATTCCTCCACTGCTCCCAGACCTCAAAGTGTTAAAGAATAAAATGAGGCTCTTGGATAAAGGGTGGTGGAAAGAAAGTGGATAAAAGGATTTAAGAATCGTACACATCTCTTCCCAGGCTCTACTTTCTTATTGTAAAAAGCCTTGGGAAGTATTTTCTTCCCCTAAGAGCTCTTGAGGCCCAGGGAGTGCAGAGGAATGACGTGGGCAGCCTTTAGGACTTCTAGAATCAGGCTCCTGGGCCCCCTTCCTAGCAGGTGTATAACCTCTTTGCTCCAAAATGACTCCCTGCCTTACGACATTCACTATTTCCAATGTTGCAGCCAAGACACGGAATTTACAGCTGAGGCCGGAAGGGTGTGTGTGCAGGGGGAGGGGGGAGCTGAGTGTCACTTTGGAAAACTGGGGCCCCCACCCAAGCATTGCTGCTTCTGTACAAACTCAAAAACAATAAAACAGCAGCTCATTAACTCTTATTTTGTACTTTATTTCCCGTCTCTCTATGCCTAAATGCAGGTTTTTGTGTTGCTGGCCCCAAGTCACCCTCAGCTGCTGCTCCTTTATTTCTCTCATAGCCTCCCCCCACAAGATCTTGCTTCTTGGACCACAGAGGGGGTGGGGGTGGGGAATGTGCTTGTTGAGCTGAAGAGAGGTTTCCAGCCCTCACCTTTGAAACTCCTAACATGAATCATTCATTTAGAGATCTGGTGTCTGGGCTGGAGGGGTGGGGTCAGTACCTGGAGTGGGCTCTTATTGCCATTTGGTGTGTGCCTATGGGGCAGCGTTCAGCGGTGAGATCTTTTCCTTACTCCTCCCACCCCAGCCTCAGGGTTTGCACACAAACATGCCAGTGCTTCTGTCTGCACCCTGGACACATTTCAGTGTCTCTCCAGCTTCTCCATTGCACCCTTTGCCTGAGGTATGCTCTGTGCCCTCTGGAGGAGGATATGCCAAAACTCTTCAAGTAGCTCCTTTCTCTGAGTATCGGCCACCCCTGCGGTCCAATTTCATGTCCTCACCCACTTCAGTTCGGTCTGTTGCTGGAGGCCTGAACTACTTTAGCAGCCCCTGCTCTGTAAGGTGATAAAACAAAACAAAACAAAACAAAACAAAAGAAACCCTGACTCCTCAAGGAAGTCATCTCTGAGAGTCCAGAGAGGTAGCCCAAATTATTCCTGTTTAACAACCTATAATACTGCTCCCCTCAGTCTCCCATACTCATGAACAGGAAGAGAATAGGATCTGGGATTGGGGTAAGGAAAGGAGTTGGTCATTTTCTCACAGTTCCCCATTTTTCCTTGGCTCCCTTATTTTCCTCTCCACATTTCCAGAATTGTGTGTATTCTCCTTTAAGGGGTTGGGCATCTCCCGCCCTCTCCAGAGTCGCCTGAAGTTTCCGAGGAGCCTACTCTGGCTGGGCTGGACACACCTTCAGAAGACCCCCAAACTGTGCTGCTGCACC